CCCAGAAAATTTGCATTGCATGGCATTATACTCCATTATATTGCATTGTCTTGTTTTGACTGCATGATTTGTAAGCTCATACACCGTGCTTGTTTTTTAATCCATAGCTCACTGGTTAAGTATTGAGGGGGTGCAGCCTTCTATTCCAGAAAATCCACCACCAGGTTCGTCTTGTTTAAACGTTCTTCTTTTAAAACACAAAACATGATGTATCTGGACGAAAAACTTAAATGTAAGGTATGTCTACTGCTTTTCAGCACCAAAAGAGCAACAAAAGGCTGAATCTACAGAACCCCTCAAAGTTGTCAAACCTGGTCAGGAGGAGGAAGGTACGATTCAAGGCAAGGGTCAAGGCGCAACAGCTCCTGATGGCAAAGGTCAGTATCTTGTGTTCTGTTTAACTTTTCTCTATTTTCTCCCCCTTCTTCCCTCCTTAATCATTAACAGTAATATTCGTCCCTCATGCTGTGTTTGTATCTGTCTTTTTCAGGAAAGGAGAAGGGCATGATAAGGTTGAAACCACGCAGCACTCACGAGCTGTCGGTGGAACAGCAGCTCTACTATAAGGAAATCACAGAAGCATGTGTTGGCTCGTGTGAAGCTAAGAGAGCTGTACGTCCTGCCTGTCTTTCTGTATATAGTGGTTTATTTTATACATGTTTAGTAATAACACAATTATAGACAGTTTTTTTTGTTTTTTTTTACAACAATTATAGTCGCTTTCCGACAATCTATAAAGAAGTCAGAAATAATAGTGCAAATATAAAATTGTTACTTTGATGGTATTTGTCATGTCATGTGACTTTTCACTAAATGTTTCCTTTTGTTTCATGCAGGAAGCCTTACAGAGTATTGCTACAGATCCTGGGCTGTATCAGATGCTTCCAAGATTCAGCACATTTATTTCTGAAGGAGTAAGAATGTTTCTTCTTTTCATGTTTAGAAGTGTTCATCACATCACATTAAATACCTACGCATCTCTCTGCTGAAAATACTGACTGTAACCTCTCCCTAAAGGTTCGCGTAAATGTGGTGCAAAACAACTTGGCTCTACTGATTTATCTAATGCGGATGGTCAAAGCTCTAATGGACAACCCCACGCTGTATCTAGAGAAATACGTAAGTGAAGAAAATGTTATAATGTTTTTAAAATATCTAAATTCAAGACAAAAATATAATATCGTGATATTGTTTTTTTGTGTCTGTATCTATAGCTACATGAGCTCATCCCAGCTGTGGTCACCTGTATCGTGAGTAAGCAGCTCTGTTTGCGACCTGATGTCGACAACCACTGGGCTCTACGAGACTTTGCTGCTCGCCTCATGGCCCAAAGCTGCAAAACCTTCAGTACTACAACCAACAACATCCAGTCCCGTATTACCAAGACTTTTACCAAGGTGGGCTTTTGTGTTGCATATTTTGTTGCTACAAATGTTAAGCTCTTGTTGTGATTGTTTAAAGCTTCGTAGATACCTTAGAGGTGTTGCCTTGCTTGCAGTCATCCAGCCCATTTATTCCTTATGTCTTGGAGTTTCCTAATATATTCTTCTGTTCTAAACAACTCTACATTTTCTAAAAACCTTTGTGAAAATGCAGGCATAACTCCAGCTAGTTAAATATCTCACCCTTGTTGTGCAACTGTGTCTTTGGATTTTTTTCAACAGTTAGTAAGTTTATTTTGTTAATAACCAATGTCCTTGGTTCCCAAAATGGTAAAACAAATAGTAGTGCATAGTTTATAGCACTTCTTTACTTTAACCATGACATCACTGTTTCAATGGCTTCCCATATTTAACCCGACTGATGTTTTTACAGAGTTGGTTGGATGACAAAACTCAGTGGACGACACGATACGGCTGCATCGCTGGACTTGCTGAACTGGGACCTGATGTGAGTTTAATGTTATTTTCTCCTTGTGTTTTCTTGCTCGTTATGTTCCATTCCACCGACCTTCTGCTTTCGTCCTCTGCAGGTGATTAAGACGTTGATCCTTCCTCGGCTTACTGTAGAGGGTGCTCGCATCAAAGCAGTGGTGGAAGGACCTGTGGTCTCCAATATTGATAAGATTGGTGCTGATCATGTCCAAAGCCTCTTACTAGTAAGAAATAACGTTTTTGAGCATCATTCATGTTAAGGTGGATACATTTGTGAACAAAAACTGTCAAATCAAGTCACAAAAGCAGTGTTACAGCTATAGTAAGGATTTTTGTTTTGGTTTTTTCTTTTTCAAGAAACATTGTGCCAGTGTCATTGCCAAGATACGACCTCAGCCTGACAACGTGGAGCAGTATCGGACAGACTACGGTTACCTCGGACCTATGCTTTGCTCTCATGTAATGAAAGCCAGGACTCAAGCAGCACTGCAAGCTCAGCAAGTCAACAGAACCACATTAACAATCACACAGGTACACTTTACACTTAATAAAAATCTGTTTTCTCTCAATGCAATGAATGTGAAAAGGCTGAAGGGCATTTTATACAATGTCAGAATAGTAAATAAAAATACCATAAAAAGCACATGTTCACATATATCCTGTCTTTTAGGCTGCACACCTGCAGTCCAGGGTTAATGTGAAACCGTGCTGAATAACGTGAAGGTAAACAAGCAAGCTGCTGTTTAATAATGAATGCTGACGCTTTCTTGCAGCCTCGTCCCACCGTTTCAGTCTCACAAAGTGGGTTAAGTGGGTCGGCGGGGCCGCGCACTCCCAGCATCATTAAGGTTCCAAGCTCCCTCGCACTGATGTCCCCGCGACCTGGAACCCCATCACAGCCGTCTCCCCCGGCAACCAAGTACATTGTTATGGCAACTAGTGCAGGAGCCGCCTCAACTCAGCAGGTACTTTAATCTTTTAATATGACATTCACCCAAGGTACCCTAAAATAAGCTTATGTTGATTAGGAGATATGATAAAAGTATCAAACCTTATGTCATATACTTAACCTTTTTATTGCTGTTTCGAAGCTGCCACAACAATGTATGCACAATCAGTGGTGACATTTTAAAAGTAATGTATCATAATGTGAAAACAAACAAAGCACAACAGCAGAAATCAAAATAACTGAATCCTCTTGTCTTTAAAAACCCACAACTCCTCAGAGTATGAATGTGTCTTTTTGTCTTGCCTTCAGGTAATCACTCTCAGCTCTTCCCAGTCAGCTTCACCAGTAACCAGCACTGTTCCCAGTGCGACTTCGACCTTGCAGCCCTTAGTAAAACTCGAGTCTGGCAGTGGCCCTGGACTGACGGCTTCACGACCTATGCAGAAGTACATTGTTGTATCTCTGCCCTCGTCTGCCTCTTCCTCTTTGGAGACTAAGAGCTCTGTGCTCCCCACCTCAATTTCCTCAACTCCACTAGACACGGGGATGAAGCTGGACCGGTCCGAGTCTCCTGGAGCGAGCACACAGTCGCCACACTGAGACTTGTATAGTTAGTGGAGATTTTTATCATGTTGGAGCAGCTGAACACACAAGCTGATTTGATTGGGCTTAAAGGGTAAACTATGAAGTGGGATGAAGGGGAATATCTGAACTCTTGACTGACGAAGAGAAAATGTGACCAGACAATGTAAATATGTTTATGCCCAATGAAAACCGATCAATCTGTGAGATCTTCAGTGTTTCAGCTTATATTCTAATTGGTTTCATGTTCTTTTTTTTTTTTTTTTTACCCTAAAATAAATCTGATTTTGTATGAAATGGTGGATCTGTGTTTTAGATCTCTGTTTTAATTTTACGAAAATGTGTTATGTTTAGTAAGAAAAGCTCTTGTTGTTTACAAAGAGTTGTTTAGACCAAATATCTGAATAGTCAGTGCAGTTCACATTGGTGTCTTTTGCTGTTCTTCAAATTGGCCATTTTCAGAATTCACTGCCAAATTTTTTTTTCAAGTCTATAGATTGGATTTGAATACTCTAAACTTGCATCAAAGTAGAGGAGAAGAACAATCAGAAGTAGCTTTGCTTTTTTGCAAGATGTGTGCTACGTTATTACTGTCCGAAAAGTGAGAGGTGTCATAACTTTTTATTCAAAAAAGGAATTAAGTAAATGTTTTGATTTCAAAATGTTTTGTAAAAGTTCTGTATCATCGGCACTTGAGTTGGAGAAACTTTCCCTTTTGAGCAGAAGAATCTCTCAAACTCTGGTCACGTGATTTTTCACATTTACAAATTCAGGAGAAATAATACTGACCAAATCATGTTTTTGAATGAAAGGGACTAAAGTCCACCTCCAGTCATTTCTTTACCCTCTAGAATTTAATCTCTGTGTGTTATTAGAATTTTTTTCACTGAAAATAATCCTTTCGTACTTTTTTAATGGTTTAAATGTAACTCTTCACTATTGCTTCTTTTTCATACAGCCAGTGGTACAAATCATGAAGATCCCCCTTTCTTTGCACCCCTTCGCCTCTTGCTGCAGCTAGAGCACACCAGCTCACCTTGCCCTGTTCTGTAGCATATGCAAACACCTTATAGGAATGTTTACAAAATTTAAAAAAAGAAAAAAAAAGTAGATTTTCACTGGAAAGGGTCTTTAAAGTATCAAAGGTAAAAATTTGCATTATGCAGAAAATAGAAAATGCTATTATTGAATATAACACTAATTGATAGATAAGCAGAATTGTAGGCTATTATCTGCTTTATATACTATAAACATATATCCTGTTTATACATTTTTTTGCATATTTAAATAGCTTAATACAAGTCAGTGTCTACCTAAGTGCAGTAAATTAGAGTAAATAAAAATTTCTATCTGTGCCACCTCTCAGTCAAGTGGGCAGAGTTCCAGTCGTAAAAAATGACCGTAACCACACGAAAATTACTCATCCTAGTTTGGGTTTTAATGCATTATTGTTCTAAATACAAAATATAATTTAAAAGAAAAAGAAAAAGAAAAAAAAAAACGTGACATATTTCTTTAAACTAGGAGTTTTTATTATTATTATTTTGTCAGTGTTTGATGTACGTCTTATTTTGAAAGCAGAGCCGCCACATGTGAAGCGCTTCCGGTGTGTTCAAAGTAGTGAGGTTTGCTTTCTTTGGACTCTAAAGAAAGTGTCGGCTCCGCTTGTGTCAAAGAAACACTGTTGGTTTTTTCCTTCTGCTGTAATCATGAATTTTAAGATACGAGCTGCCACAAGAGAAGACTGCAGAGACATCTCCAGGATGATCATGGTGAGTCGCTGCTAGCTCTGACTTCTGTCTGCAGGAGCTTCATAATGCTAATATCTGTTAGCTTCATGTCTGTACAGTTGTGATTTATTAGTTATAGTTTGGTGTGTTTGCCAAATTCATTTCTATATATGTGTACACATAACGATAAAAAAAAAATACGTTTTTCAGGAATTGGCGGTTTATGAAAAGATGCCAGACCAAGTGAAGATTTCTCATGAAGGTAATTTTACAACAAAATCTTGAATGAACTGAGTGACAAAGAAAGAAAAGATGCAGGATTGTTCCAACTGAAATGTTCTTATACAGTCACTTACAGAGATTCACTGAAATGTTGCTTTGTTTAAGCAGGAGGAGCACAGGTGTGTTTATGAACATGGCTCAGCTCCATTCAGTGTCCCTGTGGTGCTGCAGTGATCATAAAAGGCAGCCATTGATAATGAGTAGAAATGCACCTGTGCTCGTCCTGCTATGAAAAAATGTCTGCAAAGAAAAGGTCATAAATAACTTGGATTAAACAAATGACAATGCCTTAGTTCCATTAAGAGAGACAAATACACGGAACTATAGTGCAACCATGGCAGGTGATGCTGGCTTTGTAGCTACAGTCGTCCTCAAATGTATTCATACCCTCCCATTAAAGAAAAGGCAAAATTCACAACACAGACATTTTTGTTTGTCAAATGCAAAGAAATAACAACATTGCATAGATTTTTTTGTCACAAAAGGCAACACAAACTGTTTGTCTTTACTGTCTGCAGACTAATCCTGCAAAGTCACCCGTCAAAGGCTCAGTCTGAGCTGGGAAAACCCAGTATATGCCTAACGGTATGTGGAAAGTGTTCTGAGAGGTTAGACATTCGTGCATTATAACTAACCTGAGTAATTATAAATAGAGTGCAGTAATCGGTAACCGCAAATGAGGACACAGCCAACTCCATTAGTAGGAATGGAGATCAGTCCAGCATTGGTAAATTCTCAGGAAGTTATGACCAGATCCACTGGAGAAGTTTTACAGAAACATGGTTGTTTATGTGTTTATGGCCAATAGATCTCCCTGTTTGTTATCAGTTGGTGTGGAAGTCATGCTTGAGCATTAAGTGTCTGTTTCATACAAACTTGAGTGCTGATGAATGCTATTATTATGTCTAATGGGAAGATGAAATTAGTCTATTTGTGTAAATTATTCTTGTGATATTTCAGAACTGGAGCGTGACGGTTTCTGCCAGAATCCCTTCTTTGAATGCCTCGTGGCAGAAGTACCAGAGGAGCATAAATCTAAGGAAGGTAAACGATGGATCAAGACCTTTTGGATGCTTGACTTTGTTGCCAGTCAACCCTGATAGAAGTGTAGTGATTGTTTTGTGTGTCTTCCTGCTTGCGTCTTTGATTCGTTGTGTTTGTTTGTTTGTTTGTTTGTTTTGTCTCTTTAGGATTTACAGTTGTCGGATATGCACTTTACTTTTACACCTACAGCACATGGAAAGGCCCGACAGTGTATCTGGAGGACCTGTATGTGATGCCAGAATTCAGAGGTACAATATGCATCACAATGTTGGCAAGAAGACTGAAATAGAAATGCTGTATAAAGATGTTTTCATACTATGTCTGAAATACATGGTTTTTTTTTTCCTATATACTTATTTATCTTACTTCTCTAACAAAAGTCTCCATGTTTTTTAATGATTTTCTCGACAGGAAATGGCTTTGGCAAAGGTTTACTGAGCAAAGTTGCTGAGGTAAGACTGTCTTTGTTCACTACTGAGTCCTCATTATCTATGAATAATAGAAAATTGGCTTGAGAGAAAGACATATTTTTTAAATTTAATTGCAACATGATCAAGCCCAGGACTGTTTTGATTGCTCAGGTGGCGAAGAAGAAGCAGTGTGTGCGGCTGCAGCTGTCTGTGCTGAACTGGAATACTCCTTCTCGAGACTTCTACGCTGCTAAAGGAGCTCAGGACCTCACTGTCACTGAAGGCTGGCACTTCATACGCTTTGATGGACAAAACCTGGACAATTTAGCAAACGAGGCTCCGAAAAATTAAAAAGTTGCCACAAAAAAGTGCACTGTATCCTGCTGTGGAAAACGTTTACCTTCATAAGGTTGTTATCCACTTTGTCTCTCCCCTGGATTTGCAAATTTAAAGCTAATCACATTTACAGGCACCTATGTGTGATGTAAAATTGTTTTTATAATGATTGTGTTTATAAAAAGAAACTTTTGATTTACTTTTAAATTATCTGTGGCCTTTCTTCATTTTGCAAACATGGCTGCTTTGGTTTTAAAATGTTACGTAAAAGTTCAATATCATCAGAATAATCCATTAGAGCTCAGGAAAACTTTCCCTTTAGAGCAAAAGAATCTGAAAACAGTCTTCTAGCATCAAACTGAGGTCACACATCATTCTTCATTTCATGACAAATCCAAGAGAAACAATACTGACCAAACTGAGTGAAAAAGTCCTTCTGCAGTCACTGAATTAACCACTAATTCAATTAAGGTTTTAACAAAGGTCAGTAAATTAGTGTAAAAACATACTTCATTTCTATCTGTGCCACCTCCCAGTCAAGTAGTTCCAGTAGTGAAACCAAACTTCTTTAAAGTCAAAATTAAATTCTTAAGTAAACTCTGACACTCACAAATGCTATTTAACACACCCTCTGTAACCACGCCGAAATGAAGTTGTTTCTATTTATCCTAGTAGGGTTTTTATGCAACAATAGTCTAAATACAAAGTGAAAGTCAAATTAGAAATTATCATTATGTACTCAGGCTCTAATAAATGTTCGTCTTATTTTGAAAGCCGAGTCACTGTTGAAGCGCTTCCGGTTTGTTTAAAGTAGTGAGTAAACAAACACAAGAGTTTGTTGTGTTTGTTCCTTCTGCTGTAATCATGAATTTCACGATACGAGCTGCCACAAGAGAAGACTGCAGAGACATCTCCAGGATGATAATGGTGAGACGCTGCTAATAATGCTAATATCTGTTAGCTTCATGTCTGTACACTTCTGATTTATTAGTACAGTCCCTTTGGTTTGTTTGTCAAATTCATTTCTATATATGTGTACACACATAACTTTAAAAAAATATATATGCTTTTCAGGAATTGGCGGTTTATGTAAAAAGGCCAGACCAAGTGAAGATTTCTCATGAAGGTAATTTTACAATAAACTCTTGAATTAACTGAGATGAAAGATGCAGGATTGTTCCACCTGAAATGTCATCATACAGGCCTCTAGAGAGTGAATTTTTAAAGGAGATCTCACAGTCACTCTGATGTGTACGAACAGGAAAGGTACATGTGTATTTATTAACATGAACATGGCTCCATTCCGTGTCCCTGTCGGGCTGCAGTGATAAACAACAACAGACAGTCATTAATAATGTGACACACTCAGGCTGTATGTAAAGAAATGCTCATGCATGTGTAAATGTCTGCTGGGAAAAGGGTGTGAAGAGAGTGCACGGAAACCATTAAGTTTCAATATCAGAATCGTTTTATTGTCATTATGCATAAGCTTCCAGACACATAAGCAAATGCAGTTGGAAGTCTCAGCTTCTAGCAAAAAGAATAAAAAATGGCACAAATAGACTTCGAAGATATAAACACAAATAAGAAAATATAAAATATATAAACATAAACGCTGGAAACATTCTTTAAAAATATGTATATATGTTGAAAACTGTAGTAGTGTTACATATTTAAGTATTGTGTGACTGAAAAGTTGGTTTAAAACTGTTCTCTGAAAGGCAGAATATGATTTTTTTTTTTTTTATAGGATAATAATTGTTTAGTTGTCACGTGTTGAGTTCAACAATTTAGTGACACAGCGCCCCAGTGAAAACAACAGTTGGTGCCTCATGTCATAATCATGTCTTAAAGGTCAACAGATGTCTTTCTTCTTCTTCTTTTTTTTGTTTTTTTCCAGTGCCGATACCAATTATTATTAATCAAGAAGACCAATAAGAAATATGAAATACAAATATACATTTTCAATAAAAATCAAATTCTATAATATACACAAATACTAAACAAATACCAACACAAAACATAGATGAATTGCAGTACTTTAGTATTATTAGTATTAGTATTAGTATTAGTATTAAGGTATTACACAAAGTTTTTACGTTCATCCTTTAGTACTGATAGACGTTTATTGGTGAGGTAAAACCAATCAGATGCTGTGACGGTGATCGAGACCCCAGAGCGGTGACTACTTAACAGCTAGTGGCACTGACTTGATGCCTGTCCCTTGAATTGTTAATATCCACCAGCTTGTTCACATTGTGAGCACAAGCAGGACTCGATAGACATTTCTGCTGAGTGAAGATGATACGAGTCAACACAGTGGCAGTATAATATGCCATCAGGTCAGCAATGCACCACTGAGAGTGAATGAGAGATGAAGACTGCAAGTTGATGCAGGTTTGAAACACTCAGGATGCATATTTTCAAGTTAATAACTGAGTAGGGATCGTACCTGCAGATATATTTGTAAATCTTTAAATTTCCGCATCAGAAGTACATGAAGGCGAAGTGATCAGCTGCTACATTATGATTCCTTTACATCTTAATGCTTGCCCTAATGGATTATATCATAGAAACGTTGCAGTTTTAGGGGGTATTTCTAATGAAAAGATGAAATTAGTCTATTTGTGTAAATTATTCTTGTGATATTTCAGAACTGGAGCGTGATGGTTTCTGCCAGAATCCCTTCTTTGAATGCCTCGTAGCAGAAGTACCAGAGGAGCATAAATCTGAGGAAGGTAAATGATGCATCAACACTTTATTGATTGTTGTCTTCGTTGCAAGTCAACCCTGATAAAATTGTAGTCATTTGCTTTGTGTGTTTCCCTGCTTGCCTCAGTGATTGCCTTTTTTTTTTTGTCTCTTTAGGATTTACGGTTGTCGGATACGCACTTTACTTTTACACCTACAGTACATGGAAGGGCCCCACAGTGTATCTGGAGGACCTGTATGTGATGCCAGAATTCAGAGGTACAATATGTGTCACCATGTTAACAAGAAGGCTGAAACAGAAATGCTGTATAAAAAAAATGTTTTCATATTATTTCTAAATTACAGGAAATGGCATTGGCTCCAGTTTGCTCAGCAAAGTTGCTGAGGTAAGACTGTCTTTGTTCACAACTGAGACCTCATCATCTATTTATAATAGGAAACTGGCTTGAGGGAAATACATACTTTTAAATTTAATTGCAACATGATCAAGCCCAGGACTGTTTTGATTGCTCAGGTGGCGAAGAAGAAGCAGTGTGTGCGGCTGCAGCTGTCTCTGTTTGATTGGAATACTCCTGCCCGAGACTTCTACGCTGCTAAAGGAGCTCAGGACCTCACTGTCACTGAAGGCTGGCACTTCATACGCTTTGATGGACAAAGCCTGGACAATTTAGCAAACGAGGCTCACTCAAGCTCTGCAGAAGCCTGATAACGATCCTGATCATTTGAATCAGGTGTGTTGGAAGAAGGAAACATGCAGAATTGTGGCCCTCGAGGACCGGAGTTCGACACCCCTGTTCTAAATTGTCTGTAGGTGTGAATGTGAGTGTCCTTGGTTGTCTGTCTCTAAGTGTAGCCCTGTGATAGACTGGTGACCTGTCCAGGGTGT